GGGGGGGGGAGGAATTATAAAGAAGGGGTGGGACAGGGAAAGATGTATAAAGAAGAAGAGAACTAAGTAAAATGTGATAACATGAAAAGCAGAAAAAGAAAAGAATTATAGAGCAAAGAATTGAAAGTTAAAAAAGTGAAAAAGTATAGAAAGGGATAAAGAAGTGAAAAATTAAGGCTTAAAACATGTAAAATTCAAAATTTGTTTATCTATTTAATTCCTTCATCTGATTGTTGAATGTTGTGAATAACTAGTTCTCCAGTAGGTTCTACAACTAGCCGAGGACGAGCAGGAGTAGTTCGTTCATTTGGTTCAAACTTGAAAAACCGGTTTCCACCAGACTGTGTATCAGGCAGCACGTGGGTTATCTTACCCCCGGACTCGTAAAACTGGTTCTCCTCGGGTTTAGTGAAAAAAGCTCGCTGTGTCCTAAGTTTACGGTGATCCTGACGAGGTCCTGACTCCAGGAGCCGGTCATCCTTCTCCTTGATCCAGTAGAGTAGTGTCTCCGGGGAGTTCACGGAGCAGCTCATGGACATTACTCCACCCTAGAGATATTATGCAGGGTTACCCACAAAGTATGGGACGTTGAGAGACGACAATACAGATTGTATTAGATATTTTTCTCACATTCATGGTTCTCACTTCTTTCTTTCTTTGCATAATCATGTAACACTCCATATAAAATCACATATTCAAACTTAAGTTTGATAAATTTAAAGTATTATATCGTCGTCATTGAAGTTCAAAGTTTAGAGGAAAACGTAATTTGGCATTAACTTTGGATAGCTATCTTCTTGTTTGGTTTTAGTCTTAATTTTAAAATTAAAAGTCTTGAATTGCACACAAACGCGCAGAGAGTTAGAATTAAGAAATAAGTAGTGTGTATTATTATACAACATCAATAGGGCAAAATTGGAAGAAATGGAAAAATTGAACAGAGGAAGGGGAAAAGTAGGATATAAGGAAAGAAGAGAGAGTGTACAAAAAGAGAAAAAAGAAGGAGATGAAGAAAGTAGAGGAAAAGACGAAGGGGTGAAAGAGAAGGAAACAAAGGGAGAAAAGCTTGAAAGGACGAGAATGAGGAGAAAAAAGAGGAAAAGGAAAACAATGAAAAAAATTAGAAAGAAAAATTAATATAAAATTGAATAGAAAGCAAAGAAAGCGAGGATAAGGAGGAAAATAGGAGAAGAACAGGAGAAAACACAGGAAAAGAGAAAGAAAGAAAGAGAAAAAGATAGAAAAGAGAAAGAGAGAAAGAGAGAAGCGGAGATATATTTATCTTTTAACTTAAAGTGATTTTCTATGTCCTACTCTAAAATGTCATTAGCGTAGTTGAGACTTGAGAGGGCAGAGGCTCATGAAGTATTTATAAACGGTTGAAACAACGCACACCAATCCAGTTAACCTATCTTTGCGGCATTAAATATTTTCTACACAGCCGATACACTGGACCGGCCGGTACTAGTTTTGTACTGGACAGACTGGTACTATTTTTGTACTGGACCAGCCAGTACTAGTTTTGTACTGGACCGTCCGTTACTTGTTTTGTATTGGACCAGCCAGAACTAGTTTTGTACAAGTTTAAATCAGGCAACGATTCGGCAGGTGTGAAAGAAAAGAGCCTGAGTTAAAGTCTTGTAAAATAAAATTTGTAACAATGTTTTCTTTTCAATTTTAAAAGATAAAAGAAAGAAATACTTATTTAACTATCCGTCTTTATATAAAATCCATCCGACAGCGATCTTTTCTATTTTAGTCTTAATTGGAACACGTGTCAGTTCTATGATTCTAGTGGTAAGGTAGGGAATCTTATTCACTAATCCCACCTGGAGACAGGAGACGCTGCTCTTCACATGTCTGTTTCAGAACGAAAGAACAAGATAACCTTTAAGAGGAGATGCTGAGGTTTCTTAGTCTCATTTAATATATCTTTTGATAAAATATGAAAAGTATGATTTTTACATACTTAAGGAATTTTCAAATAACCAACCTTAGAGTTTTTTAAACACAAGTCTTCAGTATTCTGAAGAAAGCATGAAGCATGATGTTGAAAGAAAAAAAAAATTCCAATTTTTGTTGAATAATTCTTTTTTAACGCTTGTCTTGTGATGGTACAGCAAGAACCAGAAAACTGTGAAAAAGGAATATTATCTTCATACTTTTGTATTTAATGTTGTTTCAAAGCAAACTTATTAAATCGTTTTTATGTCAATTTGGTCTAATTACACTGCATAAAGGCTGTGTCCCATGTTATGGGACTTTTCTCACTGTATGTAATTTCTTTTGGTTGGATTTGGAACCAATAAATGTAGTAATGACTGAACCAATCAGGTTATTTGAGGAATCTAACATGAGTAGTTTAAAAAAATGAAATAATGACCAGAATGCATTGTGTCTTTGCCACAAACAAACATTTGCCATGCTCCCTATATATTTGCAACCTGATTGTGTAAACCTAAGACATTTTTTATTTTGATTTTTGAACTAACAAAACTAATAGTTTGACATATCTGAGGTCTACAACATGCAGTTGCAAAGATATAGGGATTAGAAAGTCAGAGATTGTCTCAAGGACTCTATTCCCTTGGACTATTTTCAACTGGGAAATACTAACTTTTTATCTGAAAAAGGTTTGAAATTTGATTGGATGATTTTTTAGGTTGAAAACATTTAAGTTTAAAATGAAAATAATTTTGTATGGAAGTTTAATATTAAATATTGGATAAAGTTTTAGAATAAAACTGTGTCAAATTAAACTAATATTGGCTTGAATTTCAAATTATATTTTAAAAATTATTTTCGAACTTTTTCCAGATAAATTTCTGTGAAATTAAGTAATTAATTCATTAAAATAATGTAATTTTGCTAGAATGAAATGGACACTAATTAATAGTTCTAATAATGCTTAATAATTTTTTTGTTCTTGTTTTAATGTCAACAATTTTTTTTAAGAATTTGCAAATCTGACAAAAATGCTCTTAAATGTCTACTTTCGTCCAATAGTCTTTCAAAGGAAGCATTCAATTTGAATGATGGATGTAGATTTGAAAATTACTGTAAAAGGAATCAATTAGTTTTAAATAATAAAAATATTAAATAATATGGGGGAACATTAGAAATAGATAAAATAACAAACTTGGGGGTATAAACTCTATACCTGTTATTTTTGTAAAATATAGGTTGAAATAGTATTAATTTTTCCTATTTATTAATCATTGATGTATTATTTAGAACTTGCTTAATTTCATTTGTTTCATTAAAGAATATATTTAATTCTAGAGAAAAATATTGTTTAGATAATACAGCTATTTTGTCTGATATAGGTGGAGGGGGGAGGGCTTTTTCAACATCTCCCCCCAGTGCTGATGTTTAAGAGTATGAAGGAAAAATAAAAAAAAAAAACTTTTAATCAATATTAACGTTAAACACATGCTTTTCAAAGGCTTTTTAAATATGGAAGTTTAGATCTGTAGATATCAAATATTAAAAAAAATTTTGTTATTTTTGATGTGTTGCTGAAAATGTTCAAGTAAAATGTCTGCCCAATTATGAAGAACAAAAAATTTAAAAAACTTGAACGCTCAGATTAGCAAGATGTAATTTTAATGTTCTGGTAAAAAAAATAAACAAAACCCCCTCCCCCCCCCCCCCATTCAGAAAAAGGTTAAGAGAAAGAGAAAATATTTGTAAATCCCACCTGAGATTAAAAGATTAGTTCCATCAACTAGAGAGAAGTGTAGATTATTCACTAGCTCTATTGGTAAACCGTCCTAAACAGATAATTTTATCTCAAAATATTCATTTTATTAGATATAGTGGAACATGAAACATGAAAATTAAAAACTATCTAAGGCAAAAAAGCATCGTTTTCCTTAAAGGTTGAACTTTTTCTGAATGAATTAAATTTGTGCAAGAATGAAGGTGTTATTCAGAAAAATTAACCAATCATGAACAAACAAAGGGATCATTTAGAAATAATAAACTATAGTTTTTCTATACACATGGTCATCTTGAAATTATCATATATAATAGGTCGCGCTGTATGAAAACTGGATTACAAAATTAACAATTAAAAGTGTTACTGCAAAAATTCCTAAGTACCATAAATGCTTAAAATAGTAAAAAAAATGAATTTGGGAAATGATTGCCATATCATAAATTATAGCATGTATTAAAAAAGTTAAAGATTAAAAATTTAAAATTTAATAATTATTTGAAGTTGTTGCTGCCAATGCTTCTGGTTTTAAGAATTTGTTTTTATAAAAAATATCAAAAAGATTACAAAAATCATGAATTTTACCAGGCATGGAAAAAGAACCTAGGACAACTTAATAAACATGAATTTAAAAAAAAGTTCAGTATTGAGATTAAAGATCATTTAAAGAATATAATAGAAACTTTTTGAGATTAGTAAATAGCTAACTTCCGGGTTTTAGAAAATAGTGAAAAATATTCAAAAGATCACAAAAATTTGTTTTTGATGGTACCCATCCCTAGTTAAGAAAATAACAGGGATAATAAAGGAGATAAATTTCATGTTATCTTTATATTAATGGTTGACACAGAAACACAACAAAACAAAATGAAATAACAGCTAAACCTTTAAGAAAACTAATTTCTAAAGAAAGATATAAATAATGCTTCTGCAAAAATAAAATACTAAGAATCATTTTCTCAAATTTCATATCTTAAAATTAAATTAAGAAGATGCAAATATCTGCAACAGCGACATTTCATAATATGATTTGTGAAATTTTGAATTGATTTATTGATTGATTGACTGATTGATTAATATATCTCACCTTCAGCCAAACAACTCTAGTTTCAGGATCTTTATTTGTAAACTGACAGTTTAACTTTACATCTTCATTCCTATATAATACACAAAATAATCTTTATTCCTATTAGAGTAAATAGATATAGAGTATATGTGTACTTTAGTACAGGTGGAATCAGGTAGATATAGTATTTTAGGCATTGTTACTCATTCTAAACTCCTCCTCCTTTTCTCTGAGTCATGGCAGTATTAGGAACCTGGAGATTGATTAGTGAACCCACGAATCTTGAATAGGATAGACGTATGAGCTAAGCTACTTTTAGACAGCTATCGGACTGATGTATCTATATCATGACTATCAGAGAGAAAAAGGAGGACATTAGCCTCCTTCCCCATCATTATACCTGGATAACGGATTCACCCTCTTAATCCTCAGCAGCATCAAGGATATCAGATGCTGCCCCATCCTCTCCAAATTACCCTTTACAAACAACCAATCTTGCTGGTGATCTGGAGCAGCTAGAAGATCAAGTCAGACTCCTGGAGCAGAAGCTCAACCTGATATTAGAGACACTGATCTTTACAGACATCTCTTTACATATCTGCTGTAGAAAAAGCTGATGAACAAGATAACCTGGAGACAGGAGACGCTGCTCTTCACATGTCTGTTTCAGAACGAAAGAACAAGATAACCTTTAAGAGGAGATGCTGACAGCTCTTCTCAAATATGTTGTAGAAGCAACTGAGATAACCTTGAGACAGGAGACACTGCTCTTTACAGACAGCTTTCATCAGATCTGTTTTAGAGTCAACTGAGATAACCTTGAGATAGGAGACACTGCTCTTTACAGACAGCTCTTCTCAAATATGTTGTAGAAGCAACTGAGATAACCTTGAGACAGGA